CCCTAAGACTGCAGTTGCATATTTTTTAAGTTTTCTTTTTGGTCTTTCCATTGTTCCTTTGTATGAAGTAACCTATGTAATTGTACATTTTTACTTCTTCAATTTCATTTCCTTCCCATATAAATATTATCTTTTTCGTTCGTCCACCGCCTTTTCTGCCTCTCATTATCTTCCATATGTCCGTGTTCATGTCTAAGTCTCTTTCTGCGATGTATTTTCCCATTTTCTCATCCTTTCTGTCATGCCCTATATAGGTAAGATAAACATAGTTGGAAATGGTTAATGTTCGCGGCCTATACTGATAGTGACCGACTAATGTTAAAAATGGGACTAGACCGGGTTTGGGCAACAACACGTAATGTCTGAATATCAATGTCAAAATATTATAGAAACTTTTAGGGTGTCGCATTTTGTAGGTTATGGCGTAACTGGAGTCATTACACTGACGTACCGCGGAAGAGAAAGAGAGGTGATATTTTAAAGATTCAATTTATTTTTTAGCCACACATTCATTCGAGGTTAGCGATGTGAACGTAATAATCTCGGTAGGTGTGTATGCAGCATGTTTGCGGCAACAATGGCGTCGGTTATGTGGCGTTAAAGGAACACGTTGACGGTTATTAACGATAATGGAGTTGTTGGATGAAGAAGAAGAAGAAGAAGAAAAGTTGCGGAAATTTGATAAACGACGATAATCGCGCAAAGGTGTGCAATGCGCCATCGTCACGCTGAACCGCAGACACCTTTGATATTTATTTATCACGCTTCGAAGAATAACTCTATTATTATGTTTCCTTTACCTCGATACGATCGTCTACTAACTATAACTAAAATGACACCAGTTGCCGGTAATAAAACAGCCATAAAATGCGTGAAATTGCAATACACTGAAAACCGTTTGTACACTTACTGAGATTTATCAACAGCTTTGTAACCGAAAATGTTTATCGAAGAAAAAATTGTTATTCTTCCAATTGTACCAAATACGACTTGTTAAGAAATAACATTCAGTTGAATAGGCTGCCAGACGTATTAGATAAAAAGATATAATGGTATCTATTAGTGTCTATTCAACTGGACAAAATATTAGTCGTTGATGCGATAGACAAGCCTTGTCCCAATAATAATTCAAGAGCTGTTTTTGTTCATCTGGAGGTGCTGAAGGTACAGATACAATGAATACTTGCTTTAGATCTTTTCGCGAATAAAGAAGTTACTGTAGAACTGTAGGGGTATATATACAGGGGCGAAAGATTAGTATGCTTAGATTTGCAGATGATAGCAGTATTAGCATCTAGCGAGGAGTTAGAGATAGCTTTAAGTAAAATGGAATAGGTGTTAACAAAACGGTATTGTAATGAAAATAAATAAAAGTAAAACAAAAATAATGGTATGCAAGGGAATAATAAGTAGGGAAAGAGCGAATATAAAGATTGGAGACGAAAAATTAGAAAATGTGACTGATTTAAGGTATTCAGGAGGTCAGATAAGTTAGGACGGAAAGATTAGTAGGGATAGGAAGCAGAGGATAGCGCAGGGTCGAGTTGCCTTCAATAAAAAGAAGTCACAGGAACATGGACGGTGGACGCTGCGGAAAAGAAAAGGTCAGGAGCGTTCAAAATGTGGTGTTACAGGCGAATGATGAGGATCCTTAGATAGAGAAGGTTAGAAATAAGAGGAATTATAATGAATAGGAAACCTGAGGACTGTATGGATGTCAATAAGGAAAAGACGAGATAGTTTGGTTAGACACCTTCTCAGACATGAAGGTCTAGTCAGAGATAAATTAGAGGGAGAGATAGGAGTTAAGAGGAGTAGAAGTAGGTCTAGATTAGTTTACTGTTTACAAATAGTTAAGGATGTGGGATGTTCTAGTTTTAGGGAAATGCAAAGATTAGCTCAGGATAAGAAAGAGTGAAGGTGCATGTTCAACCAGTCTTGACGATTGACGACCTTATGATGATGATGATGATGATGATGATGATACCATAATGATGGCTTGCAGCTTTAGGCAAATAACGAACTGTAATTGTTAGTAATTGTAATTAGTAATATGAAAATATTATTGTAATTAATAGAATTTGCAGTTCCTCTTGAAGCTTCCATTGTAATAACTCAACGACCAAAGGATGAAACTTATCTAAAGCCAAAATCTACTCTAAACGCAGGTTCTGCTTTCCGGATGTGATATTTTGCAAAAGTTCGGAACGCCAGATTTGATTAGCGGTGGCGGTCGCCCTTGATTAGAGAAATTATCGGTCAATAAACTGGTTCATTATACGCAGTACATACCGTTGTGAACTTTGTGCAGATTATTGGACCAGTACAGAACTCTCGATTTGAATATCTATCTTTGCTTCGGAATTTAAAAATTCCAAAAGTTGCATTTACGTTGCTAAAACAGTATTTGTCCCATAAAAAGAGACATTCTATACAATCTGGACTTACATTCTAATCTTCTACCCAATTCGAAGATGCATATGAGAGAAACCAACTACATTGGAGGTTGTATTTTATGAAATCAAGAAATTAAAATATTCCCTCTTTCATCCTAAATGGCACCTTATATCGGCAATTTCCGATCGCTCATACTAATAACAATAACTGCTCTACAGTGATACACTGACCTAGAGTCACTGACCTGCTAAATACCAAGTGATTGAATGTGACGTTGCGTTGTCTTATTTCTCAGTCAGGACCGCACTAGCTCTTGCCGCTACTCTCAAATACGAAAACGGTGGATATTCGTACCTGCAAGCATTTACTTAATTTTCTAAGTTTATGCTTCCCTATCTCCTCCTGCAAGCAAACGACTTTCACTGTATGCAATATGTATCAAAATCTCATGTCTTATGTAGAGAATATGATAAATATTTAACAAAACACCCGGAATTATTAAGAGGCAACTAGTAGGTAGCTATTAAAATTGGTGATGCATATGGGATGGGTAAAAGTTAATCGAAAAGGATTTAACGAGAAATATTAAAACGATCAGAGGCGCCTATCCAATAATTGGTATCCTCCAGGCGGGCCTTTACCTGATTGCTGTCGAGATCCCATCTCATAGTATGGCCGGCGGGATATTAAAATCCTAGCGAACTAAATTAATCTGAAACCTCGTTACCTGCACGAAGGAGAGCAATCAGCTTCGGATTCAGTTCGGGCGTAAAATATAATAATAAATTTGAGGGTGGGTGCGATCGATACGAAACAGTATCTACTAAATTAATTTGTAATTAACGAATAAGGCAAATCCACAATCATACTAACTAAACAGTGGTGGAATATTAAGGCAGGACGTTAAAAGTGCGCTGTAACGAAACTTGAGAAATAATAAAATATTTAAGCTAAATCGTTAAATTAATAGGAACGGTGGTATCACATTTAGCAAGAGTAATATATTGAGGCCCAATGCTTAGCAAGGTTTGTACGATCAAAACCATGACGAAATGCAAATGATCAAGACCGTAAGTACGATTTATTTGCAATATTCCTGCAAAAGTCCCACCTAAGTTCTAATACAGTTACAAAACAAAATGTAAAAGCTCCCTGTGTTGGTGAACTTTGTTATTGAATATTATAGGATATTCAAGTTCGGCTAATGTTTCTCATATTTGCTTGTTTATTGCGTCCATTTCTTTTGCTTTTTTATTTCACGATTTATTCAACATTTTTTCTAAGGAGATAAAACATTTTAGTAATTCTTTTGGTTGTATCTACATACGTATGGTGTATATTTATAGAATGCTGCGTTGAAAACAACGAAAATTTTGAGTAAAACGTTTGATATTAAAAAAGAAGCAATGGCAACCCAAGTTGTTTATTTTTCGATAACATGGGCTCATGAAAACCTTTTTAATTAACTTGATGCATATCTTGCTGTATGCGATACCTAGTTGTCTCTGGATTGCAAACCACCCGAGACTTAATTAAATACTCGTTTCGTGGAATGACTACAGGATAGTTGCAATTTTTTAAAATTCACATCTATGTAGTATCGCATTACATTTTGAGTTGTTTTTTCTTTATTACCTGTGTTCAACATCCGTAAACAAACTAAAATCTTGAAAATGAAAAACACTGCCATATATTACTACTCATTACAACGATTTAAGTATAGATACATACATACATAAAATGAATTTTCATTAGCTAAAAATAACTCATGAAATTAGTGTCCCACTGATGCCACAATTAAGTATCGGATATATGGAATTATACAAGGTGTTTCTGAAAAAAGTTCTGGTGTGTGACCACCATTCAACTTATTTTTGTATTTTGTGGTAATAATATCGAGCGCTAACGAGTGCAGCTTATTACTAACTATTACGTACAATTGACTTGTTTACGTATCAGCCGTTTGCGAAGGTCACGAGTAGGTGTGTGTGTTTCGTGGAAAATTAATAAGATAGCGCGGTAACTGCTCCCAATCATTACCAGTTCGTTAACTGGGGTACTTTTTGAACACACTTCTTACATCCCCTACGTCGTGGTAGAATGACGAGTGTCTACAGTGTCTCCAGATGTTACCCTTGAGATATTCCGGAATACTGATTAGACGCAGTGTATATTGATGTCTTCTTGCCTTTGAGATGGAAGAGTACTTATTCCTGGTAAACAGTTCTACCCCTGTTGTTTCTAAAAGCACGTAAATCACAACCTCCTATTGGGGTTTGATTTAGTCGAATGTGGTAATGGCACTTTCAACTACCCTTCCCGTTCTATCCAAAACCTTGGCGTGGTTAAGAGTCTTAGTAATCCTTAAATGTTCGGCACAACCGGGTGCATTTCTATGATTATTCCCTTGGCTGTACGGTAATTATAAAGAGGTCGTGAACGGGGATTCCTCAAAGGATCATTATCCTACTGACGAGCGACCTTTGTTCCCCGACAATAAACCGCTCGTCCTCCTTTGTTTCCGTAAAGCCCAAGAAGCGCCAGACGCAACAATAAAACGTGCTCGTACACGTCTACTCACTAAGCTATTATTGTCTTTTCAGGCAAGAAATCGAGAGTCTACGTAGCGGAAACGCAATCAAGTCGGAATCAGTGGCGCCTTCTCGCGATAATAACGACCACTTGACGTTGAAGTGGCTGTCGAATAACGTAGCCGAGCTTAAAATGGAAATGGCCGAATTTCAAGCCGTCCTCAACTCCTCCTTAATCCTTCAAACGCACGAGAAGGTCGACAGTGAGCTGGGACTTTTACAAACTGACGTGGCAAACTTGAACAAGGAGTTGGAGACGGCCAGGAATAAGAATGCCAAATACGAAGCTGAAATACTCCAGTTGAGGGAAGAAGTGGGAAACCTAAGGGATCAGCACAAGATTATTGCTACAGTATGCGAAAAGACCAAAAGCCAGGTAAGACACATTCTATTAAAATAATTGAATATTGAATACTTTAGATCTTTAACAGATTTTTATTCATGAATAATGTAGTTAAGTTTAGTGCCATCTCGTGGGGATACAGTATCACTCTTAACATTTTAAGGTAAACAGAAAGTCATTTATACTAAAACTATTCTTAGACGAAATCATATAAGTATCTGTATTACGTCTATAAGTTTAGGAACACATAAGTATAACTACCTTGATTATTTGACAATTACATTGAAAATACTCGAGCTCAATTTTATTCCATCAAAATCGCTTTAGTGGAAACTGATAGATGACAACGAAGTGAAGGCAAAACCTTTCATTGTTACAGATAAAATTACGAGTATAATTGTTTGGCGCGCCTTACGTTCATCAGATGTGAATAATTAACCTAATGCCTTCGGTACCGTGCATCAGTATGCGAAAAATCATTGTCGACACCTAAGTTCTTTACTACTACTATTGCTGCTAGAGCCATTTTGATTATAACTGAACATACCATGCGGGATTTTCAGGGCAAAAACTCAACCTTCCATTTTTCATCTCCAGGGAAATTTGGCTTATTATAGATTTGTATTAAAACGTTACATCATTATGGTTTATGGCACGTGGATTCTGAAACACGAAAGGTCCATTGATGTAATAGCTATTTGCTACCAGCTACCACTTTATAGGACTTTTAACGACCCGTATATCTAAATGTAATCTACCATAACAAAAATTTAATTATCAAACAATAATAATTAAAAGGTCATACCTACTTTTATAAAAATTGTATGACTACAATATTGTTTATTAATTTTTGGGTCTCCTGATGACTATGTTTACCATAGAATTAAACCATAGTTACCTATATCAAATAAACAAGAATATTTTTTCTTAAACGTGTAGGAAAATCAGTTGCTATTGCTGAAGTCGATGTTACAGCCGAATAAATTTGTTATGGACTTAAGCATGCTCTAAATTCGAAGTACAGACATTAACGTTTTTGTAACCGGAAGGACGTTACAACCGAGTTCGCTATAAGTAAAATCTATTATATCATCTTCTACGGACTGTTGCGCATATTTCCAAGCAGTAGGTACTGGGTAGTTCTTCTATTTTCTAGTTCTTTGTAGCCGACAAAGTTGATAATAAATTTTCGCTTTCAGGAGCTCTATGTTTAAAGGAAAATGTAAATGAATTGATTGTAATTACTCAGCGCTGTGTGTGGAAAAGTCCTGACATTATGTTTTTATTACTCTACGTGGAAACCACTGGGTAGTGATGTAGTGTGTTGGGTAATTTATGGGCATCACGTAATACCACGAAGACAGAAGTTTTTAATTTATTCTTTCTGCAACTCCCTCTGATTACCGCCGATCGATGATAGCCACAAACACAATAAAGTAGAGAACGCGTCCTATCTGTCCATTTCGTTCTTGTTTTCCCCTTTCTATTTTTATTTTATTTTTTGTTGCACAAAAGTCTAAACCGCAGTTTACAATGATTACGAATTTAAATATTTTCTTCGCGTTGCATTGGCGCGATCGTATAGAACTGAGTTTTATGGAGCAGTTGAAGTTTAAATCGAACTGTTTCTCGACGGAAGTCGCTACGAAAAGTTAAGACCTTCTTTGAAATGCATTACCTACAAACCCATAATAATAGAGAAATATAAAGTACACATTGCAGGAAATATAAATGCAAATATTAAAAAAAAAAAGAAGAAACAAAAGGAAATGTTAGTGAAGAAAATGTGATGTTGTCTAGCAATCCAATCATTGACTACCACTACCTTTGCAAATAACAGTTGAATTTACAACAACTGTATAATAGATAATTAACAAATTCTGATTGGTTTTGTTGTTAGCTTTTACAAGCGGCTTTGCTCGCGTTGGTGTAGTAAAGACGTGTCAAAAATCATCGACGAGTATCATCATCATCATCATCATAAGGTCGTCAGTCCTATGACTGCTTGGACACGCATCTCCACTCTTTACTATCCTAAGTTAATCTTCGCATTTCTCTAAAACTAGAACAACCCACATCCTTAACTATTTGCGAACAGTGATCTAATCTAGGTCTATCTCTACCCCTCCTAGCTTCCATTTCTGCCTTTAATATGTCTCTGACTAGATCGTGCCTGAGAAGATGTCCTACTAACTTATCTAGCCTATTTCTTATTGACTTCCATACAGTTCTCCGTTCTCCTATTCTTTCTAATACCTTTTCCTTTCTAATCTTCTCTATCCGCGGTATCACCATTCGCCTATAAAAAAACTAATTCTTCCGTCCCTTGGGAAGTGTGTTCTTTCCTGGATAAAAGGTACTCTACGCCCTTTTGTATACCAATGGCAATGCGTGTTCAAAATTTTATGATGATCTCAGAAGTTAGAATAAGGCAGTTATTACTTCAATTTCGTTTGCATGCAGAAAATATTACTACTATTTAAAGAAATTATGTTATTTTCTTCTCTAGAGGTGTTTTCTATATTCTGCGACGGGTCCATGTTGAACAGTTTTCGCTAGTATCCCTTGGCAACATTTTCTTTAATTAAAACATTGATAGACGCAATTATCTCATTTTAATCAGTTAGAAAGCCAACTTTGTAATAACGAACACCGAATAAACTGAAAAGTGAGTACTTAGAAAATTGTTGACTCATCAGGTACAAACGCGTCTCTGTCGGTGATGTGTAGGTATATAAGTACATGTATATACTTATATATACATATATCGAGAAATGGAATGAAAAGTTAAATGCTCTTTCCTGTAGCTTCATTTTCCATTTCAACGTGGTCTCATTTTGACTTATTTACTTTTGACAAATTAAGCTTTTCGACTAGGTGCTTTAATTATTTGAGCGAATTTATTCGAGAGAAGCTCCACCGTCGATACGAAAGCAAAGTTTTAATGAAATATGTCTATATACGTATATTTCTTTTGTGCTTGCTTCTTGGAAATACGACTTTCCAAAAATTAATTAGTTATAATAGAGAGTAATAGAGTTTAAATTTATAGAAATACGTGTTAATTGCTAAAGTCTCTCTATTGCTTGTTTTTCGTAACTTTTAAAAAGATGTTCTTCAGTATTCATTTGTATTAAAACATTTTTTTAGAAATATAAAAATGGGCACGCAAAAGTATAATCATGCTCATTAAAATTGATCTAGATATTCAACACTTTGTGTTGGAATACAGGAAATTTTGTTATTTCATTTGATGAATATTGAGAAATCATAAAGAAGAAAACTAAAATAAGATCGTTTTCAATTGTTCTCAATAAACATTACAGTGTTTACTAGGTATCTAAAAGTAATGCTGACAATTAGTTTATTGTGTATCTTAGTCATTTCAATGGAACACGATATTATCACGTTTGCATACAAAAGAAAGGAACACATTTGTTGTTTATTTGAATTTATATCAATGAAAAGACAAAATGGTCTAACCTATTTTCTTCACAATCTAATAAAATTAGTGCTTTTACTCCATGTATATAGACATTAGTTCTCTATTTCCTTAAAAACAACTTGAGTTGTATAAGTAAATGATTTCAAGCCCGATAAATGGTTTGAAGTCCGAAAAAAATTTAAAGTCATCGATTCTATTTCGATTATAGATTTATTTTCAAGAGAAACCTATTGTCAAGTCTTACAACTTATAAATTAATTCTACTCAAAGTATCAAAGCCGTGCATGTCCTTGTTCTTCAAAAGAAGGTATTTATATAGGTCTATTTATTATGTGTCTTGTAGAAGAAGGGTTTATGTTCTATTTATGGAGAGTAATCTCAGAATTTTTTTTTATCGTCCTCAAGGTTTCTGTTGCGGCAAAGCTGAAGCCCGAAAGCTGTTTGGACACGCACGTCTATTTTTCCTATCATGAGCCAATCTTCGCATTTTATGGAAATTAGAATCTATTCTCTGTCTACTTCTGCCCCTTTTAACTCCTGTTTTTGCTTTTATTACGTTTTCATGTATGAGAAGGTATCCTTTAAAACTAAATCGTCTATTTCTTATTCACATCCATCATAACACCTTCTGTTTTGCCAATCTTTCTAATAATACCTTTTCATTTCTGACCTTTCTATTCGCTAATCACTTTATGATTCTCAAAAAAGCCGACATTAATTATTTGGTTCTTTCAAAAATTTGAGGTTATGTTTATAAAGTGGTTTTACACCCCGCTAGCTCAACTACTGATTTTCTTTTGATACCAGTATTATTCATGATGTTACTTTGTCGAGAAATAAGTCATGGAGAGTTACCATAACAATAATTATTTAGATAATCGATTAATTCGGCTACTTACAGAATATACATTTATAAGCTCGGTAAGGTAGGATAGAAGGAAGTTTGATGATGGAGAATCTTTGACTTTTTATTGATATATCTACATAAATGTGTATTAGTGTTGGTCTGTTTCAAACGACGGAAAATCCAATTTCATCTAGAACCAAACTGCGAAGGAGAAGAAAGCATGGGAATCTTGTTATAGCTTGTCTTTTATAGCGAGAAGGGCGTATTTACAAACGCTACAAAATACCTTTTTGTCATCGAAAATTGAATTGTGTTTTTCATATGTTTTATGTTTAGCAGTTTTATTCTCTTCTCGGAAGTTGTTTTAAGGCTTTACATTTTCTCCGGCTATCTAAAATGGAAATGAGTGCTTGCCTTTTAAAAAGAAAATTAATAACTCAATATTCATTGAAGATGCCAGATTACCAAGCAGAATACGTGTTGGAACTTTTTCGAACTTTTTGACGTAAAACTTTTCGTATCTTTTATCTTACGATCTTTAACTTAGTGCCAAACTTCTTTTGAAAATGTTTTTCGCATTAAGCCATGTTAATTTACATTATAAACAATCTCCTTTCTAGAATTTATCAAATCCGTTACCAATATGGTAGTTTTTAGTAGTTTGCCAAAACGGCTAGCCATTTACCAAGTTTAGTAGGTAATAATTATCGACTTATTTTAAAAAATTTGTTATTTATATTT